GCGTCTGCACCCCTGATAACACGAGGCTTGGGGACGCCTCATGAATCCCATGTAGACCGACCGGAGATGATAATTCTGTGGTTTCAAAAAAGTATTTTTTTCGTGAAAAACACCTCTAAAATTCGAGGTTTGAGTAATTTATTGCTTCACAATGAGAGATAAAATAGAATTATGAAGATTTCTATTTATTTACATTACAAAAAAAATGCCCCATTTGGGTATCTGCAGCGAATCTGACCAACAAAGAAAGTTTACAAAATCATATTAGTATTTAGGCGTCCGATTAAAAGGTAAATTATTTTTAAATTTTCATTAATATTTACCAAAAAAAATAAAACATCGGCTGTGAGAAAATTTTCGAAAAAAAAGAAAAAAGAAAATCAATTGGTAAACAGATAAAACCAATCCATATTTATTTAATAACCCGTCTCAATCACGGAATATACTGCCATGGAACATCATGTACACGCAGTTCCCCCGCGTTAATTTAATTGCTCAATTATTTCGTGAGTTACCAGTGACGGGTATATGATATATAGCTTTGAACCAATCTTCGATCATTTGCACGTGAATTCCCTGTCCTGAGGCCACCCGAACTCCTCCAAGAACGCAAGAACCACCCCGTTTGACCAGCCAAAGCCGGTCTGAGCAAAATAAGGTAAGGTAGAGTCAGCGAGCTTGGCAAGATCTGCTCATGAAAGAACTGGGTATCATGGAGAATATGTATATCACCTGCGGAGTGTATTCACCGCCGCCGCCGAATTCTCCACATGCTCGAACATCGTATTTCTCGTGCATCACTCCCGATTCCCGGTAGGAAACGATGTTGGTTCTGATCCACCGGGTGGCGATATCTTCAGCTAGGTCCTGGGCTTCTTTGAGCCCTGATCTTGCCAGTCCTTCGACTATCAGGTGCTGTAATGGAGCCCAGCCATTGGGGAAATCCCTGAAAGGGAGGAACCACACGAGGTTTCATCAGCCTGGTCTTGCCCTCCCTGATCACAAAATCTCATCCAAATACAGGGGCTCGCAGGAGTAGTGCGCACCATTGTTGGCCTGAATTCGTCAACGAAGTAGCAATCCCAAAAGGTTGAAGAAGGCCCGAAGTTTTGAAGCTCTTAGTAGCTTTCTCGACCATGGAGTGATCTTCAGACATAATTCAACAGAGTCAAAAACATAAATCTCAACTGCATTTTTCTTCGGAAAAATGATGTAAGATATTCAAGGGAAGTTATCAATCTCCTAATCTTATCCCTTGAATATTTTCAGTTGAACCAGATTCCCAAAAAATTGACGACTGACTTTTATAGATTACTCAGAGGAGAAAGGAACTGGCTGAACGCATAGCATCGTTGCAGGAAGATGAGAACTTGCAGAACAATAACTACTCTAGATTCAGCACTCTCATGGCTGATGCAGCAAGTTTATAATCATTAAATGGCCAAAATTCAATATAACGCAGACAATTAGCCTAAAGATGGTTGATTGGCCAGAAGTGATAGCCAAGATATGAGACCAACACCGTAAAGCATTACTCTCCACTCATATGAAGATGATTCTAATAGTTTTCAGAACGCCAAACGTTGGCGAAAAAATTCCCACGTCCACCTTCCTAATATTGAACCCTCTAGGAATGTTCCCTTTTTATTTGCCTAATTTCCTTTCTTGTCTTGTATACAGAACTTTTTGTTTCCAAAAAGCATCTGATTTTCGGATAAAAAAATTGTGAAAACTTTTCATGGATCAGGCATAAAGCTTCATGGCATTTAAGCACATTAGTGGATAGAGAGTACTACTGGTAGGGAGTCTTACAAACCAAACTGGAGATGTGAAAAAGCAAACCTGAGTTGCACATTATCCACAAAGGGACGAAATTCGATGCAAAAATATTTCGGTTCTGATTGCGAGCATCCCACTCCTGGCCATCCTGAAAATTTTAGTATGCTACGTAAGAAGAAGAGAAAAATAGAAAACAAGTCCTACCTCGTACCATACTTTCATAAACTTACATAGATACACATACGGTGGCTGGTTGGTCGGTTGATCATGTGCAGTAAAAGGGACCATTTAATTTGGAAAATACGTTTGATTATCATGAGAGCCTCATTTTTCATATGAAAAGGATATCTGATCATGTGCAGTAAAAGGTACCATCTATAAGTTTGACTTTCATGAGGGTTTTAATTTTACCCTAAAAAGGGAGGTTAATCATGTGCAGAAATACGTGTCTTACCAAGAAAGAATATTTAACTTGTTATCCTCTAGCAGGAAAAAATAGACCCGTGGAAAGACTGATTCATTCGGAATGACATTAACTTTCATGAGGGTTTTATGTTTTGTAAAAAACAAAAGGGGAACTAATTATGTGCAGTAAAAGACGAGGTCATTGATGACGGAAAATAAGTTTGACTTTTCAGCAGGGTTTTTTTAATTACGCAGGAAAATGAACTGGGAAATAATTAAAACGGCCTACCTCACACTTATCGTCTTTTAACCTGTAGTCGAGCCATTGCCCCATCTCATCATTCCAGAATACCGATTTCAAAGTCTCTCGCCGTGAATGGGCAGCTGCCAAGAATTTATTCTTGGTCTGTACATCTCCAAGAAGTTTGGCAAAGAATGCAATATCGAGCTCCATCTGTAATTCAACCCATATATATAAGGTCATTAACGTCCATCCACAATTATAATTATATTTTCAAATTTCAAATTATAATTAAGCACTAATCACAATGGCGGCCAAATTCTTCCTGCCTTAAGAGATATTATCGATTATAAGTTAAGCTTCATTATTACAGAGGTAATACCTTGAGTATGTAGACATTGAGATCCACAGGAATGATTGATGTAGTCGCTAAAGTTGTAAGGTCAGATGAATTGCTGCAAAAGGCAAGGGACGGCATCAGAATCGGAATGCATGGTATCCATATGGGGGAAAACATGGTACGTTTTCAAATGGTGCCCTGAAACATATGGAGGGAGATTCCAAATGATGTAATCCCTTAGGTATCCAAAACTCATATGAAATGATGATCCATGGACAACATCATAAAATGGCATGCAGATTATTCACCGAGACAGTATACTCAGGGGTAATTTATATCGTTTAAATAAAAAAGCCTGTAAACATTATCACGTTCTTGGACTGAGAGATCAAGCCATATTTTATTTTTTCCTTGTTATTTTTTTTCCTTCAGGTAAGTGAGAGTTTAACCAGACCAAAAAAAGATCAGAGAAAGGTAGGACTACTAATCCAAGAACAGTGAACCGGGTGCGAAAGCTGCATCTGCCGGTTATTAGTTACATCATTATACATTTGTTTATTTACCAGTAATTTAAGAACAGGTTATGAGTTTATAGTGTCAGTACGAGATGAGACGAAGTATCCCACCTCATCCACCTGGAGCTGAAGTCCCACCCGGACTCGGCTGTTGAAGCAACTTCACGATAAAAAGCTTCCTTTTCTCGGCCATCTACAAGCTTTGAGCCAGATTCCTCGTCCTGTGAGATGAAGAAAGATCCATCCTCAGTCGTGCTCGAAAAATCATGGCCAGTTAGTCCTCCCTGAGACACGCTATGAGAAGGATATTACGATCGTTCCACTCTCGGGCCTGGGCTTGTTCCACATCGCATAGTAGCGATTCACCTTGTGACTGCATCCCCGAGCATCCTTTATTTCCAGTTCATGGATTTCTGTGAAAAAAAGGAGCCAAAAAATTTGAATATATGAAGAAAACAAAGGTGAAGGCCAAGAAATTAAGGGAAATCTATCGAGAATCATAATTTCAGAGAACCCAATACCTGAACTCCAGAAATCGTGCTCTTTCAGTAGCGATGGAAACGATCTCTTCACGAACTGTAGATCGCCGGTTTTCTCGAAAATTTCCAAGATCATCGAACTCAACAGAGGAGGTTGGCTGTGGGATGGGGATCATGAAGAACATTAAACTAGCTGACAGAGCGGTGCTCTCCCCTGCAGAATCGGTGCATTACCTCCTGTTGGTGTAATAAGCCCTCGCGCCATTCAGGACATGGCCGTAGGTTTCAACGAGATATATGAGATTGTTCACGATGGCCTTTGCAGTCTCATGCATCTTGCTAGCCAGCAAGCCCCTGCACAACATGAACATCAACCTGCTGGTAATGTAGGCCACATTGGCTATCAGATACTTCACGCCATTAGAAAACATCCCAGTGGAGCGAACTGGGTCCCCTCCCCCTCTCCTCCCCTTGTTGACTTGGGGGAACAGGGTGGTTGAACTTGAGGAGAGGACCCATATGATTAATTTCTCGATGAGGGCAAATGGGGAGAATGAAGAGTCGGACAGGGAAGTCATTGGGAAGAACAGACTAAAAATATGCTTTGGGCTTCGTCTGCGGAGATTCTGGGACGAAGTCCGACAAATCAACAGAGCTTCAGGGAAGAAGAAATGTCCCAGTACTCCCTCCGCGTACCTGATGATCCAGTAGGAGTCCCAATAGTAAACCTCCCGGAAACGCGAGCCGGGGATGATGATAGGTCCTGGCAGTGGCAGCAAGGTGTGGCGCTCCGGGTGAGCCCTCACGTCGTCGGCAACCCGTCTACTCAGGTTCTTCCAGAGGGCGTGCACCTCCAGAGCCCACGCCCTGACGGCGGGGTTCTTGACCTTGGGAAGGAAACCCTTGGGCTCCGGCACGAAGTCAGCAGGCTCTGCGTACACCAGGTCGGCTTCCGGAGCACTGAAGTAGACCCCAAGGAACCGATTGAGCGCTGCGGCAGGGATGGTGCCATTGCCAGGGGAGCGGGGGAGGGCGTCGAATGCGGCCTCGGCGGCGCCAAGCTCGCGCCGGAGAGGGAGATCAACGTACAGCTTGGGGTCGAACCCCTTCGGGCCCAGGGTCTGCAGCGCAGAAGCTTGGACGCGCTGGAGGAAATTTATCAGCGGAGTGGTCTCCTTCACTGGCCCGTCCAACGGACCGCAGACGGGGGGAAAGTCGATAAAGATGTGGCGAGAAGCCATGGCGGATATGGCGAGGGCGGCGAGAAGAACGACGACTGTGAGGAAGGGAGAGGTGGCGAAAATGAAAACGGGAGTGGCGCTAGGGTTCCGGCGCCAGGATCTCTTCGCCGGAACCGCATTACTTCCCGAGGGAGGGGCCGCCATCCCACGTTCGCGGCGTGATCGCCCTCGTTCTCTGTGAAGTACAAGTCAGCAAAGAGGAAAAGATGCCACGAGCACTGAGATCCCCAGTAACGAGCTTAGGTCATTACCTCTCGATACTCGAGCCTGCTCCGCTCTGCACGAGCAAACCCTCTCCGCCACCCGCCTCTCCTCTGCTACTTTCCTCCTCCTTGGCTCCGCTGTTGGTGCCCTCTCGTCCATCACTCCCTCTCCTCGGCGGCCGGTCCACCCCGCGGCCGCTGACTTCGTCGGCAGAGAAAAAGATGCCGTGGCAGCCAAGGAAGTTTCCGATGCCCACAAATCTGTTGCCGACTTTATTTGGTAAAACCCTAGGACGGGAAAATCGTGAAGATGAAACTCTAGAAGATGGCTGACCTCAGGGGGGCAGCCGTTCATCGGAGAACGGCTTGGCCATCTCCGGCTGTTACTCGTCCTCCTGGCAATTCGAGATCCCGTGCAAATTAACCTCCGAAAGCGAACTCTGTCGTAAGCGTTGAAATCGAACTCCGGTCTTTCTTCAAACCTCTGACCGCCTATCGCCGCCCCATCCGATCTGATCTGACGCGGAATTCCAACTCTCTACAGTCTGAGCTACAAGCTTGACCAGATTTTCTTTTCTCTTTTTTTATCATTATCGCTCCTAAAATAATCACCTCGTATCGCTGACGTGATTATCCCCGTACGGACGAATTATTCTCATTTCGCATAGGGAGTATTATTTATTTATTTATATTTTTGTATAAATTATAATTCATATTTATAGATGAATTATTCGACCCAATAGCTTGCTCAGGAGGTTTGGTGGGGTTTAACGCTATTATGGGTAATTATTATTTATTGATAAAAAAAAACCAGTGGGGCGGCATAATTCTGTATGTCGTCAATTTTGTCATAATTATGATGGCGGCATTGTCCGTCGGCGGCCCTCTTGTGGGAAGTTCAATAGGACGGCTGATGTGGAGCACCACCAATAATTTGGGAAATGAGAAAATTCTGAAAATTGATGAGATAAATAGCCTGAAAATATAAAAATATAGATCACAAAAAGGATTGAAGGCCACAAACATATCCAAGGCCAAAAGCCAACGAATCATTTCCAGACTGCACATAGAATGGTTTTCATATGAGTAGTAATTGCTTTCTTACTAATTCACATTTTCATTTATCCAATTTGTTTTGGAGGCATAATGAATAATTCTTGCCTAATGAAAGACCAAACACGCCATAATATCAATTGTTGATTTTCCATTATCTTTGGATACTTTCTCTTTGTTTATGTATCAAAATACAATTTTTTCAATTATAGTAAATACATCAAATCATGAGATATATAGTTGTGATGAAAAATGTGACTATCTAAATTTTAAAAAACCCTAAACTTATTAAATATTTCTCTTTTGGAAATTGTGCTCATTTTTTAAATATATAATCATCATAATTAATTATGCCCACATTAAATGATGGTGATGTCATAAGAGGTAACATAAGTTCATGAGTCCACATACAAATGTTTCCAATAGGAGTAGTAACTATTTTCCTATTAGTTCACTTTTTTAATCTAATTTTAAGGTGACTTAACAACTAATTTGGCCCATTAAAAGACAACAAGTACCATAACATTAAGAATAGAAAAAAATGAATTTTTTAATCATACTTTGATACTTTTTTTTACTTATGCATTAAAATAGTATTCAATTTAGTTCTCAAATGAAATCATGAAATTATGAGGTCTATATTCGGAATAAAAATGGGACATGTTAATTTTTAAGAAAAACCTAAACTTTTAAAATATTTATCTTAAAAAATTACACTGAATTATTTGATATCTAATAATGCTAAATAATCATGATGACATGAAATAATGTCACTATTATCAAGAGAGAACATAAGTTCATGATTCCACATATAGAGTTTTGGTAAGAGTAGTAATTATTTTCCGAGTAATTCACCTTTTTGTTGGTGAGAATTTTGAAGAGGCTTATCAACTAATTTGGGACTATCGAAAGACAATATGCATGCCCATAAAACCTTTAATAGAATAAAAGATAATTGCAATTATCTTTGGATATTTTATCTTTGCTTAAGCATTAAAATGCTATCATTTCAATTTAGTTGTCACATAAGATCTATAGTTGGAATCAAAATGGGACATCAATTTCTAAGAAAAACCTAAATGTTTTAAGTATTTATCTTTAAAAAATACACTCAATTATTTGATGTCTAATTGTCCTAAATAATCATGGTTACATGAAATGATGGTAAATATTCATGAAGACCTAAATCAATGTTTTTTGTCATAGTGGTATGTGTTTTCTTATTAATTCACATTTTTGTTGATCCTAATTTTTATGAGGTTAACTAGTTTCAAATGGGAAGACAACATGAACATGATATCATCAAGAATAAAACAAAATAATTGTTTTTTCATTATCTTTGGATATTTTCTCTTTGAGTATGTATTCAAATGATATTGTTTCAATTCGGTTGTGACATAAGATTGTGAGATCTATAGTTGGAATAAAAATGAGACTCATTCATTTGTAAGAAGAACCTAAACATTTTCAATATTTATCATAAAATTACACTGATTTATTTAGTACATAATTTTCTTAAATAATCACCATGACATGAAGTGATGTCATTGTCATCAAGCAAGAATGTAAGCTTGTATGTCCACATACAAAGTTTTTTTTTTCTATTCATTCATGTATTTGACAATCCAATTATTTAAGAGGCTTAACAACTCATTCCATAAAAATAGAAGTCTTTGTGTTGTATAAAATAGAAGCCTATTCATGATGCTTGGTGTTCACATTCCTCACTTTCTTCTATCTCCTTGGTACAATTTGCATTCCTGCTTCTTCTTATGTGGGTGAGAAAAAGTTGATTGATCGATGGAAGATATGGTGGAGGGAGGTAGCTCTAAAGTATCATGGACGAACAAGAAGTACACCTCCCTCAATTACTTGAAGGATTCCTTCATTAGGTGAATGATGATAGGAGGAAGGCTTGGATTAGGTGCCACTTGTTTAGATGTGGAAATTCTATGACTTGGTTGGCAAATACAAGATAGTGAGGATTTTACTAGGAATTGTCGATCGCACAAGAGTGGGAGCTAGAGAGTGGTGGTGTGCCATTGCCATGCTTAGAGAGGTAGGATGTAGAGTATGTGTTGACAGTGTTAGGCCATCATGTTTGATTAGTTTGAGAGATGTGTGAGTCTCCTCTCATTTGACCCATTTGGGGGATATGCAAAGAGCGAGGGGCAGTGTCATGATTGTTGCCTCATATCTAGTGACACCTCATATCTAGTGACATGTTCGGGGGTCGTGTAAAGAGAGAGAAAAAGTAGAAAATGAAGGTGATTGGAATCATCATCTCTAAGATGTGTGAGCATACCCACATGTAGGTTGAGAATGTCTCATTTTGGGGAGGTGGTTACTTTTTTCCTTTTTCGTATAAATAAGATAAGTATTTCCTTTTTTATGAATATGACGGATGATGATAATTTCTCTCTCCTTTGATTTTATTCTTTCTCTCCATCAATTTTTTTTTCTTTCTTGGTCTCTTTTCTTACTTCTATTTCACGTGAAGTCCTTATAGAAAGAGATAAGAGTCCATTGTTGATTCTCTAGTGGTCGTCTCAAAGGCATTGAGACGTAGATTGATGTTTTGTAGAAGTCTCATTCTTATAAGGATTCATGATAGTTTGGTAATTTATTTTTTATTTTGCTCTCACTAATATCTAGAAATTAAGTTTTGATTATTATTATGATCTTATACTTATATATTTATTTTTACAAGTCGTATCAAAGTATTTGATTATTTATGGACTAATTATGATTTTGAATATGTATATTGATATACAAAACTTGGACAAGTCATCTAACGTCAATATTTAGAAGCATCAGTGTATGATATACTATTTCAGATCAACTTCTATAAAACTTTGGATAGACTAAAGCTAGACAAAATCGATGTTAATGGTTAAGAGATAATGAAAAAGAAGGTTAGCTATTTTATTCATATATGTTTGTCTGATTAAACTATTCGGTAATTTATGGATGAATATAATCTTAAGGAGCTCTAGAAGAAGTTAGAAAATTAATGTGCATCAAAGTACCTTATGAATAAATTAACATTAAAGAAAAAATTATTTACGTTATACATGTCATGTTAGAAGGAGATGATTTGACATCTCATATTGATTATTTCAATTAATTATTAAATAACTTACTTCTTATGAAAAAAAAATTAATAAACAAATTTATCATTTTATTTATTTATTTCCTAATTTATATGACCATCTTGTTATGACTTTGTTCTATGATAGCACATCACTTGTTATTAAAGATGTTATTGATTCATTGATAGAGTATTATCTTTAGAAAAAAGATGTTGGTGAGGCTTGTGGTGAAGGTTTACATATGAAAGATAGAAGAGAACGTGGAAGGTAGAAAGAGAAAGGATTATTGAGAGACAAGAGTAATTAATCTAAATCACAGATAAATTAGTTAAAAAAATTAAATTTATCACGTGTTATGAGAAAGTACAAAAAATCAGAATAATAAGATTGTAAAAGTAAATATAATTTATATAATATTGTAAAAGTTAAGGATAAAGAAGATAGTGAAATTTATTATGACCTTATTTCAACTAATTAATTGTCAAACACATGAATTTTATACCAGTTACTCTTATTATATGTGTCATAATGTTAATTAATTTGATTTATACATGAGTGTAATATAAATTGTTTTCATAAAAAATAATACAGTATGTAAAGTTATTAGCATTAATTTGATGAAAGTTTAGATGTTTGACGAGGTGGTCTAAGA